CAACTGCAATTTTAAAGCCCAGGTTCACATTTAAGGCATTTAAAATGTTGCTCTGACACTTTCCTGAGTTTGTGATTTTTGTCCAGCAGATTCAGTCATCTGGGCAGACTTTGAATTTATAGAGTCAGGGAAATAGAATTTTTAAAGTCTGATGTTGGACTGGGGATTTGGTTCAGTTGGTAGAGTGCTTTCCTAACATGCACAGAGTCCTGGGGTGGACACCCAGCACCCCATCAACCAGGCATGGTGGCATGTGTCTCTAATCCCAGCACTTGGGAGGTGGAGGGAGGAGGATCAGAAGTTCAAGATTGTCTTTGGCTGCTTAATGAGTTCAGTCTAGGCTGCATGATACTTGTCTCGAAAAAAAAAAAAAAGGGGGCTGGAGAGATGGCTCAGTGGTTAAAAACACGGACTGTTCTGGCAGAAGACCTGGGTACGAATCCCAGCACCCACACAGCAGCTAAAAACTGTCCATAACTCCAGTTCCAGGGGAGCCAACAGCCTCTTCTGCCCTCCCTCCATGGGCATTGCATGACATGGGTACACTTACTTACATGCAGGCATAACACTCATAAACATAAAATAAAAATAATTTTTTAAAAAAAGTGAGCTGGGCATGGTGGTGCATGCCTTTAGTCCTGGCACTTGGGAGGAAGAGGCAGGCAGAGACAGATCTCTCTGAGAGTGTGGCTAGCCTGGCCTACATAGTGAGTTCCAGGCCAGAAAGTGCTATGTAGTAAGACCTGACTCAAAACTCCAACAATACAAAACAAAACAAAACAAAACATAACAGAGAAGTTCTAAATGCAAACCTGTTCCCACAGCCATTTAAAAATATAAAATACTAAAGGTCTGGCTGGGAAGTGGGTCAGTGGGTAAACAGGGCTTGCTGAGCAAGTCTGGAGACCTGAATTCATTCCTAACACCCACATAAAAAGCCAGGCTTGGCCATGCACTTGCCCATAACCCAGTGCTGTGGGGACAGAGACAACAGGGTATCTGAGACTTGCTAGCCACCAACTTGCCTTCTGACTCAGTGGGAGACCCTGTCTTCAGGGAATATCCAATGTTCTCCTCAAACCTCTGCTGTGTTTACATGGGCATACTCACCTGCAGACACACTACACACACACACACACACACACACACACACACACACACACACACTACACACACACTACACACACCACACACAGGCATGCACAAAGATCAGAACTGCCTCAGAAGAGGACATCAAAGACCTGTGAAGTCTGAGGAAGACTTGATGAGCCCTTGCTGGTTTGAAGACAGAGGGGCCCTAGAAGGCCCCAGAAGGAAGTGAATTCTGGCCCTATGAGCTTGGAAGAGGACCCAAGTCTCAGACTACAATGCCAGGCAGCACCTCAATTTTCAACTCCCAGAGACTGTGGTGGTGAACTCAGCTGTAGCTATTGAGAGGTCTGGACAGATGGTAGAATTTAAATAACAAATGTAGGGGCTGGAGGGATGGCTCAGAGGTTAAAAGCACAGGCTGCTCTTGCAAAGGACCTAGGTTCAGTTCCCAACATCCACATGGTGGCTAATGACCATCTAAAACTCCAGCTCTAGATATGACACTGTCTTTTGACCTCCATGGGCATGACACAGGTGTACTTACACACATGAAGGCAATACACTCATACACATAAAATTAAAATAATAAAATATAAGAAAAAGTAACAAATGTGTTTCTATTTTCAAGATTTATTTTTATTTATGCATTTGAATGCATGTCTGTGTATGTCACATGTGTGTAAGTGTCTGTGGAAGCCAGAAGAGGACATTACATCCCCTGGAACTGTAGTTACAGGTAGTTGTAAGCTCCTGATGTGGGTGCTGGGCACCAAACTGAGGTCCTCTGGAAGAGCAGCAAGTGTTCTTAACCACTGGTCCACCTCTCCACCCAAACATGTTGTCTTGGTTTTCTTTTTTTGAGACATGTTCCCACTGTGTAGCCCTGGCTGGCCTGGAACATGCTATATAGACCAGGCTAGCCTCCAACTCACAGGGCTCCACCTGTCTCTGCCTCCCATGTGCTAGGATTTAAGGACTGTGCCACCATGCCTATCTTTAAGTTGATTTTTGAAACTTTTAAATAATGCTGAGAGGTCCCAGGGAGGTTTCTGCAGAATGCGAGCTCAAGTTTTAGCCATGTTGTTAAACCCTAAGTCTCGTCTCCAATCTGTAAATTTGGGGCATATTAATACCTACTTTTTATGATGATGTGAGGAATGAACGAAAATGTTACAAAGGCACCATGTAGGAGTTGGGCTGTATCTCAGTTGGTAAAGTGCTTGCCTAGCATGCAGGAAACCCTAAATTCAATCTCCAGCGAGGCTTAAATTGGGGGTGGGGGAGTACATGCTTCCAATTCCAGTATTTGGGAGACTGAGGCAGGAGGATTATTGTAAGGCCAACTTGGGCTACATGAAACCCTGTCTTCAAGCAAATAAGCAAAAATAAAAGCTGATGAAAGGCACCAAAAGCAAAACAAAAACCCGATGAAAGTTATATAAATGCAAAGTGTAACATAATCTTCCCCTCCAAAAAATCACTGGGTTGAGGGCATTGGGAATGTAGCATAGTTGCCTGGCTAGCATGCATGAATCCCTGGGTTCGATCCCCAGCATCGCGTAACCCAGGCATAACCCTGGTAGCAAAAACCTATGACACCTCCCAGTACTAGGGAGACGGATTCAGGCAGATCAGAAGCTCAAGGTCATCTTTAGCGACATGGTGAGTTTGAGACAGCCTGGGCTACATAAGATCCTGTCTCAAAAAAATTCATTAAGATTATATAAAGCACACATTTTTTCTTCATGTATGATTGAACAGAACATTAGATAGCTTCGTGAAATATTTGTGAAAAGCGACGTGGGAACTTCTTTTAAAATTACAAAGACAAGCATGTACATAAGAGGTTCTATCTCCCTCAACAAACGTTCAGAAACTTCAAATGTGTTCCAGAACCAGCAGCCAACTTCATCCCCTGGTCTCCTTTTGGGAGAGTGTCTGCCTGGATCTACATTTCCCACCTGAACAACCACAAGTACACGCACTGTGGTGGCCCTGGTCCTCCTGCTTCCCTAACAAACACTACTTAGAAGCACTGTGACACTCAGGATTTCACCCAGTTCTCCTGACCTGACCCAACACAGGGAGGAATGGACACTGTGAGATGAATGGTTGACTCCATCCACTCCAGCAGTCCAGAGCAGAACCAAGCCAAGAACTGAAGCCAGTTGATTGCGGCGGAGTGGGGGGGTGTCTGTCCCAACCCTACACCTTCCAGATTGGCAGAGGGAGGGAAGGACCTAAGACACAGCACACTCGTTCTCTACATGATGCAAGAAATACCCCCCCACACACTCTTCAGCCCTCTCCCAGTACCTATACACGTACTCCTGTGTGTCAAAGTCCCAGGGCCATGGGTGGATTTTAAAATTTGTTTGCTTTTGGTTAAACAAATCAGCTTGGATTTTAAAGGCCAATTCCAAGCAAATCAATATTCAGTTTTATAACTGAACCTGTACCACGTTTGTTTTATTTGAATATGTCCAGCAGTATTAATGTCAACCATCCATCCACTCTCCTCAGCAAAAGAAGATACACACCCTTGAATCATGCCAGGTCATTAAGGAACCAGAAGATATATTTAATTTCCTCATCAAGCACATGAATTCTGACTTTAGCACACAAAAGAACATAAGATGTTGCATATAATATTTTGCATTTGAACTTAAGTCACTCCACCTGTCGCTCAGGCTGAATGTGAAAAGTGACTAGCGACGAGTTGGGGTACAGGGTCACTTCTTGTTTCTGTATGTTAATGGTTTATTGGGTAGCTATTAAGGTACTAGAATTGGTAAAGAAATGTGTACTGGTTATGGTTTGAAAAGAAAAAGCCAAAATATGAATATAGCACTGTTAAAATTGAAAACCACGAAGGCAAAAAATGGAACTCCATTTGCAACTTCTCCACACACATCAGAAAATCTTTCAGTAAGTTCATTAGAGCCCTAGTTCTAGCTTTTGAGACTGCTAGTTTGTTTATTTGACAATAGGCCACAAATATTCATTCAAGCACAAGTTAGTAATACTGACAGGAGAGGATGTGGATCTGAGCTTTCACCTTGAGTCTGGTGTAAACATCCGAAGTCACAGGTGGGAACATACCTGCAGGACAGAAGCAGGGACTTTATCACTTGAAGTCTTGGTGACTGATCGTTGTGGTCCTGATATTAGCAAGTCAGATGCACATGACCTTGTTATTTCTTTTTAAAAATATTTTTTTATTTTATGTGTATGAGTGTTATGTCTCCATGTAGCTAAGTGCACCCATGTCATGCAATGCCCACGGAGGACAGGAGAGACTGTTGGATCCCCTGGAACTGGAGTTCCGTAGACAGTTGTCAGCTGTCATGTGGGTGCTGGGATTTGAACCTAGGTCTTCTGCAAGAACCAGTCAGTGTTCTTAACCTCTGAGCCATCTCTCCAGCCCCGACCTTGTTATTTCTTTAGTGAATCACCCCGTCTCCTGTCCTCCAGCTGAGCCCCAGGGATAGTATGGGGATTGATCTCATTGGCACCGTCTGCTCTAGCATGTTATCATACACGGGGAAACTTTGACTCTATATAACTTCAAACACAGCTGGGTTGTTTTTCTTCTGATACCTCCACTGATGCAGATAAGAAGCTTGTGCTTCCTCTTGGACTCACAGACCCTGCAGTCAGGTATGGAATCACTGACTGAGGAAAGAGCAGTGAGAGCCTTTCAGGAAAGCCTCCTTTTTTGTCCTGGTTGGCATTCAATATTTTGGGGAGACATGAACATTTCACTTTCTCTAAGAAATGGATTGAGTTCCAAAGTTCTCTAAATAGCTTATATAAAAAATAGTTTAAAACTTACACGTTTTTAAATTATAAATTTAAAAATTGCACTAACAGATTAAAGATTAAAGAAACTCACAATCTAGAGTTGGTCATGATCTGTAGGGTCTATAGGTTTATTATCTAACAAATGAAAATAATTGAATTTCAGAAAAGCCCAATTATAATTCTCCAGATTCACAATTTACATTGCAACGAGTGTGCTGGGTAGGGCATTGGTTAAAATCACTGCTCTATAAAATGGCTCATTCAATATTTCTTTGGAAATGCACATTGAAGCTTAGCAAACAGTAAGCATACTTTGAAAATGAAATAATGTTGATGTTCTAGACATTTCAGAAAATTAAGACACCGTAACCCCAAATGTTTTACACGATCTTACTGATTTTCCCTCCTACTGAACTATTACAAACTGAAATCTGAATTGCCAGTCAATTATAAACAGGTATCACTGAAAGAGGAACAGTACATTAGCAAAAAGACGTCAATGTCAGTACAAGAAAGTGAGTTTTCAGTTCTACAGAGACGCAGGGTCTCACCGTTAGTCACATTCTGGCAACCAACAACTGAGGGGAATCCTGCCTGGGCTACTAATCCACTGGAAATGACCTTATGCTAACACTCACGTAATTCCTCTCTTTAAAACTAGTAACAAGGAAACCCGTTCTAAGAAATCTTGGGAAGGTTAGATCTGACCTTAGCATTTAGTGTGGTCCTTTCACTGAACTATGCTTTGACATATGTGGTGGTTTGTGCTGCTGTTGTTTAGAATGATTAAAGACTTGTATTACTATTTCTCTGGACAGCGGTTGATCTCTGTGTGCTGTCCATGTCGACTATCCCACATGGAATGATCAAGTCTACTTTCCCTATTTCAAGAAACACAGTAGCAAGAACTATGACCATAGATATATATTTTGGCTGTTTTGTGAATTCTATACCTGGGATTTAATAGTAATTTAGTTGGTTCTTAGTGAATAAAAATGAAGGTTAACAGGCGTGGTTTACTCCTCACATTTACTGGGGCTAGAGAGACCAAAACAGTCATTTTCTTCCAAAGAACTTAAAAAAAAATACAATGCAACAGCAATTTAAGAAAGTATATGACAGAACTTCCTGGATCATGAAGCATCATGAGATGTAATGGCCTACAGATATCAATTCAGACAGTGTTACAAAATGTCATTAAAGTCACACATATGTACACAGCTCCACATACATATAGCCACCTATTCATGAACAGGAAGAAAAGTTCTTTAGAAGCACTGTGTAAAGCTAAACGCAATACAGACTTAGTTGCTGAATCATTTTTAAGAGGAAACTTGAAGTTCTAAGAAACGGTTTTGTACATCCAAAAGTACATGTCAGTTTTCAGATGTGGGTAGGGAAGATTTGTGTGTGTGTGATGCAGGCTACAAGAAAATTCACACAATGAATTACTTGCTTTTCAAAAGTCATTTTCAAAGCACAGAGTTCAAATCCAGAGCAAATACTCATGGCACGTACAAACAGGATGCCTAAGAGCTGAACGTTTGCTTCCATATGGCTTTTCTCCTAGCTTCCCTAATGAATTCCAAGAGGAAAATCCCTAGAAGGGGCAAGGGCTAGATAATACATCATTGTATCCAGTGGGACTCCTGGATGGTTAGAGTTTACACCAAGATTATGACCTGGTGGGCTTTTAAACCTATTTAGAATGGGCTACAGGGTTTTTGTCACAGCATCCAAAGGTGTTTACATAGCCCCATGTATCTTCCTAAAACAGAGAGAAGATGCCTAGCACAGAACGGAGCTGGCAGACGAGAAGAGTAACAAAGCCAGACTCCGCCACAGGCCAGGGACCCGAGCGAAAACATCATCAGCTTCAACCACCACTGTTACCGCCTTGTTTCTTTAACAAAGTCTACTTTGGCTGGCGTTGTGCCCTGGGATGTACCAGTGGCACGTTTGGGTTCTACTTTCCCAACTTTCTCCTGTAGATTTGCACAATCTCATACATACACACACATTTTAAGGAAGAAGCCACCTTCTTTTTTTTCAGGCACTTTGCAACATTAAAAAAATTAAGTCTAGTCATGTAAAATCAGCTCGAAAAACATCCCCTCCCAGCCAAAATAATAATAGAAAAGGAACAAAAACAAAATTGAAACCAATTCTTTTTAAAAACAATTTCTGAGAAGACAGATTCCCTCAGTTTTACCAAGGAAATAGTGCAGCAATTTCTCCCACATTCACTCCAAATTCATCAGCTCCTGTTTCTTGGATAGCAGCATGTCAGGTTCCTGAAAATCTGCCCCATTTGAATGAAGCTCAGAGAACCGACCAGTGGGGGAGCATGGGCACTACTGACATTCTTGTTCCAAAAATTCCATTTCAACTGTGTTCTTGTGATTCCCCTGAGCAGTGTGAAACGTCCTTTATCTCCAGGGACGCAACTGGTTATGTGTATGACAAAGCAAACTAACCACTCAAATATATGCACATTTATATTTATACTAATATGAAATATGCTTTCAGAAGAGGGTGTTTTTTTTCTGAAGTGCTTAGACATTCAAAGGAAAACAAAGCCAGTAAATATTGAGAAATTCCTAATAAATGATTAAAATGATTTGGGCTGGTTGCCCTTCAAATATTTCCCAGTGTTTTCTTCTATGTTTTACACAAACCGAATAAAAATGTACATGACCAATGAACATACTGTACATAGATCAGATGCCAATATATATGTGTGAATTAAAATCCTTAACTATATACATCCCCACTTAGGATACATTCTGTTGCAGAGGCAAAGCGTCAGTCTTTAATAGTAGATCCAGGATAGCAGCAATTTAATAATCTTGTCACCTGGTTACCTCAGAAAACACAATCGATTCTGAATAGTACTCCTGGTTTCCAGGAGAGGTCTCTGTTAACATTGAATATGTACAGTTCCCAGAAGCACCAGGCTGCATGGCTAATGGAAACGGTGGAATCCTGTCACTGGAGAAAATGTTTTCGTCTTTTTAAAACATATTTACTGAAATAATGTTGTACTGAGTAGAGTGACTCACTCTGTGGTGATATGAATCCCAACTAGTGAAATACACAGACTGTTTTGCTGTCATATTACCAGTGCCTCATATACACAGAAAGTATTCAGCTCCTGAACGATATTATATTACGCTGAGAAAAGAGCTGCTCCGAGTTGGGTTTGAAAGCATGTAAATAACAGTTACTTACCACTTTACAACGGTGACAAAAAATTGCACTGAGCATTGTTGTAAAAGAGTTGTTTTTGAGTCTACACTCTTGGGTAAGTTATGAACTTACAACCAAAATTCACATATGCACAAAGCAAAAAAAAAATCTTTTAGGCTGATGGATAAATCATTTTAGTCATAGAAAGAGACAAGGGCTTTTAAGTAATCTTAATTTTGTGTCATCTATTGGGTAGATCCATGTGTGCCCAGGGGATAGAGATTCCAGGTAGGATGCAAGTCATGTAGATTCTGGATGTATACGCAAGTCGCATAGATTCCGGATGTATATGCAACTGACATGTGTCCTGCTGATGCACACTTTCAGGTCCAACTCCAAATCTGTTGGGAGTATTACCAGAGCCCAAAAAAGGACTCTGTGTCTATGGCAAAGGCTTTGAACCTCCCACTCATATCCCATATAAAGCAATTTTATAGACCAGAGCTACAGCTGCAAGAGATGAGTTGGTTACCTCAGAAAAATAACATCTGCCAAAGGACAGACACTAAACTGGGCCATGTTGTTTTACATGCTACAACCCTTTTCCTGGGAAGATACAACTCCCTCTGAACAGCGGTTTCTCCTGCGTGAAGATGAGATCACACGGAGAGACACCTATTATCTTTCTGCCAAGTCACTGTGGGAAGGCTGGGAGCAGCACACCCAATAGCCAACACAGGCATGCCGGCATCAGTCCTGAGATAAGCAAGCAGCCTTCTGTTGCTCTCAGAACTTCTCACTAGACAATTTTAGCCTCCCCTCTTCCGACGCTGGGTTTCTGCCATGCTTCTCATGGCAGCTGAATCAACACAGACTTTTTTCCAGTTAGCAATGTATGTTGCCAACCATGGCAACACAGCTATTACACTGAATTTTCACTTGGGCTCCTTGAGTTTGGCTGGAAGATGAGCAGCTCAGCGGATCCTTTGGATGATAAGATGGTGATGTATTACATCCTCCCAAGCAAACTCAAAGCTCCTGACCTGCTCCACAGCCACAGTCTGGGCTACAGAGCTGCTTCTTGCTACATAGGAACACTTGCACCAGGGACTTGGCCTTTTCCAACATCGAATGCTTTCAGGAAAGTTCAAAGTCTGGACACAGAGGCACTTCCAAAGTTTGGCAAGGAGAAGGAGGCAAGGTCACTACAAGGTCACTAAGTGGGGCTTTACCACTGTGCTGTCTCATCTAACCCAGATGTTTGTGCAGGTGAACACAAACGGAAATCTTTAGGTTGTAGATGGATCGTGCTTTTTCTTCTTTCCCCGACAGGACTTGCAGACACAACAGATTATACATGGAGAGGCCAGGAGTAACAGGGGTGAGGTCACCAAGGCGATGATGCCTAATCCCACAAGGATGCCCACCACCTGTATATAGAGGAAAACCTACGTCAGCAGTTGTATCATCTTAAATGTATACTTACCCCAACTGTAACAGCTTTTCTGACCTGAATGCTACTGTCACCCTCCAAAATCCATAGCCTGAAACCCTAACCCTCAGAATGATGGCATTAGGAGCCAGAGGCCGTGGGCACTATGGTGGGACCCCAGGGATAGGATTGGTAACATTGTAAAAAGAGACACTAGAGAGCTTGCTTCCATTCTTGCCTCTCCACAAGAAAAACTGTCATCTATGAAGCAGGATGAGGGCTGTGGTGGTTACATTTCATTGTCAACTTGGCTGGGCCTGGAATCACCCAGGAGACACATTTCTGGCCATGTCTGTAAGAGCATTTCCACAGAGTATTAACTGAGGAGGGACGATACACTCTGAAGAAAGCCAGATGAATCTGGTATCCCGCCCTGCCCCAATACCTTCCCAATCTGAAAGGATGTGATACATTGCTGAACTCTGCCATACCCTACCCACCATGATGGACTGTATCCCCCAAACCATGAGCCAAAGTAAACCCTTCCTCTTAGGTTGGTTCTTCCTAGGTATCTGGCCATAGATTTAAGAGATGAAATAAATACAAGGGCCCTCAGCAGAACCTGGCCATGTTGATACCTGGACCTCAGACCTCTAAACGCCAGAGCTGGCAGAAAGAAATTTTTGTTGTTTAAGCCACCCAGTCCATGGCAATCTCTTAGAAAAATGACTAAGACACTGCCTCGGGCACATTTAGCAATGTTCTCAACTGGGCACAAACTAAAACGATACAAGGACTAAATCAAGCATGAGAACAAACCAAATGTTAATGGAAGCTTGGCAGTAAGCTGCTAATCCTGACCTGTTAGTGGTGTTGGCTGGTTCTCTACCTTGAGTTTCCTCAACAGTCTCACAGGGACATTAATGATGATTACAAGGATATGAGCACTGACTTCCTCAAAAGGAGCATAGCCTTTGATAAACAGAAAACCCTATTAAAAACAAACCACATCTCCCTTTGAACCAGCCACATAAACACATGATGTCATGTACAGAGGCTCTAAGGCCCAGCAGGAGCTCACAGTACTGTGAGAACACTGCCTTTGATGGTTAATGTGCTTTAATGACTTTTAGGAAAGTCCTTTAGCATTATGAGAGAGGAAAGAACATGGGTGTTCACTCTGCCAGTGACTGCCTACTGCATGGCTCTCTGGTGCTCCCATCCCTCCAGAGCTGTGCTCATGAATTAACTTCAGGCAGTTGCTCCATTCTTCTCCCTCTCCCCACTCAGAACTCTTCAGGAGGACATGGGTAAACAAGGAAGTCATCAAAAGTCTGGTGTAGCTCATGTCCCAGTAAGGTCCAGGTACCTGTGTTCGGTTCCACATCACTGATGCTCTTGAATGGCCAAGCTTATTCCTGCAAGGCCCTTTGTCATAATGCCTGAGGAAAATGTCATTCTGAAAAACAAAGAGAGGGGTTTCAGTAAACACACAAGTTGGAGTTGAGAGGTAGATACAAACCACATCACTCCTATAGGAATTCCAAGCCCGCAATCTTCAGCACAGCCTTGAAGTTTTTTAAGTTATCAAGTGGAGATTGATCATATTCAATGAAACTCTTGGTTGATTCTATAAAAAAGGAAATGAACTGATGGGGTGTCTTAGGTAAGTAACTGAGAGCTCTAGCAGAAGTGTGAGATGGAATGGGAGAACCACAACCAATAGCAAACCAGGTAGGAGAGGGGCCAGTGAGCAAGGGATGACAGGAAGAGGAAGTCACAGTCTCAAGATGCTAAGAAAGTGAGAACTAGATGGAGAAGCCATGATATACAATCATGAATTGGGGGGGGGGTCTACTACTGAGTAGAAAGAAGACAGAAGCTTTGTTAAGAGAAATAATACAGATAGATTTGGGGGATGAGATGAGCTGCCGTTTGGACATGGTGAACTTGACAGGTAGTGGAGACATCCACACAGAGTGTCCAAAGGCGGCTCATTGCTTATTTCTGGTCCTTGAAGATGACTTGGGGCATCCGTGTACATATGTTAGAAAAAAAAAAATCACTGGCGTAAGTAAGATTGTCCCAGAAGAGTGGACTGAGGAGCAAGTATGTTCAGAGACTGCAGTATACAGGAATAAGTCAGTCAGAGTCTGGAAAGGAAATTGCTATGGCCATAATGGCAAAGGGAAAGCAGGAGAGAGTAGCCAAAAGGGAGGAGGTAAGATGCCAAGCGCCACAAGGAATCTAGGAGAGCTAAGGACATCTGTGCACTTCACCAATAAGAAATCACTTAAAGCCTTGGGAAGAACACAGTTGGCATGGCTGGATGGCCAGCTGCGTGCCCTGGGATGACTGGAGCTAACAAACGTCAACAGCAAGAGGTTACTGAGCTCTTTGGAAGCTTCCCTTCTGAAGGAATGAGAGAAGAGACAGGTCAGCTTGAGAAATGGCTGGCTCATCTCTAAACAGCACACGGCAGACAGTATAGGGTGGTAAAGGAGTAGGAGAGAAGCTGTATTCACGAGAGAAAAGAAAACTGGAGCGGGCAGGTCTCTAAGCCTCTATCCGATCCTCTGACGCTGCAGGGAGGGGGACCAAGGCAGCCGCAAACTCAGCGCCCCCGCGATGCTCAGTCTTTCTTTTGGGTGGCTGTCTTAGACTTGAATTTTAGAAACTTTCACTCTCCTGGTTCCAGGCTCTCAACTTTCCCACAAACAGATCAACACCAGCTGACAAGGAATGCTTACCTACAGAATAGCGTTGCTAAGACAAGTCCTCGTCTACGAGAAAATTAGATAGCAAAATGCAGTGACAGAAAAAATGCTTCAACATCTGAAGTCATATGTTCAGACATTTAACATCTGTCCCATTTCATCTCAAGGACCCACACAGCACAAGCAACAGAACAGAGTGTTCTCAGCCACACCATCCCCCAGACGTACTCCAGCCAAAGGACGGAATCTGGTGCACACATTTAAGTCTTTATACTCTTGCTTCCTAAAGAGAACCTCAGAGACTTATCTGTCTGGTGGGTAGGAACTCAGCTAATAGTCTGGCTACACCAAGAAGAAAACACAATGATCTCTTTTTAATGTGTAAAGAAAGCATGGAGGGAGGGTGTGTAACCACTGTACTCCTCATTGAAAATATTCCTCATTTACAATCACAGGGGGTCTTAAATACCACAGGAACTTGTAATTTAAGGGACTATGTGGAAGCAAAGTTTTTGAAAGTAAAAACCATTTCTTTAAACTTGAGCTACTAAAATTCTTGCACCTACGATAGCTCCCTTTGTCTCCTCAACATATGTGGCCTCTTAAAACAGACCAAGCTGACTGTGAAGCTTACTAATGGGTGTCCTATCAACCTATCTGATTTTCAGTTGAAGCACCAGTAGGCATTCTGTGTTAATGACACCCTTATTCCCCGAGCTGGTGAAGATGCTATAGCACTAAACAAACTCCTGGTTGAATGAAAGCAAATGATATGACAAATCCAAGACCTGCGGAAGAACAAGCATGACTCAGGACTTGCAACGATGGGGACATACATTATGGGTCAAGATTGCCCAGACAAGAATATCTAAACCGTTTGCACGTCTCCAAACTTCTGAAGACTGGAATTGAATACAATCATCTCACCTATTCTTCCCACTGCCTTTTAACTCTGATATCACAGGAAGCACGAAATGTGCCACTGTGTAACGAGAGAAAATAATCATCAAACAAGTCCCACGACCTAGGCAGTCCCGTGGCAAGGCAGCACTTCCCTATTGTACCAACACACAAGATGCAGGACTAGAAGGCACTGGCAATTCGAAAGACTTTTCTGATGGCAGTAGGCAAAAGAATGACGCCCCCACACACACACACCAAGGATGTTCATGGTTGAGTCCCCAGAACCTGTGTGTTTGCAACTATAATTATGAGAAGGACTTGAGATGGGGGCGCTCATCCTCTGTGATACAAATGTTCCCATCTCACTCTGTGGGTCTTTATAGGCAGGGAGACTTTCCTGACTGTTCAGTGGGGATGAGAACTATAAGAAGGCCAGAGAGATGTGATGCTGCTGCCTTTGAAGATGGAGAAGAGGGACCACAAATCTAACAGTGCAGGTAGCTTCCAAAAGATAGAAAAGGCAAAGAAATGGGGGTCTCAGGGGCTGGAGAGATGGCTCAGCAGTTAAGAACACTGGTTGTTCTTGCAGAAGACCTGGGTTCAAATCCCAGAACCCGCATGGCAGCTAACAGCTGTCCATAACTCCGGTTCCAGGGAATCAGATGTCCTCTTCTGTGCTCCGCAGGCTTCGCATGACAGGATGCACTTACCTACATGCAGGCAATACACTCATAAACATAAAATAAAAATAATAAATAAAAAAAAGAAATGGGGTCTCATCTAGAGTCTCTAGAAAGGACTGTAGCCCTGAAGACCTATATTGACATCTGATGTGCAGAAACATAAAATAATCTGTGCTGTTTCAAACCACAGTTCCCAATATAAATATACAATTATGTAAGACAAACGCATTAATAGGTCTTACATACTAGAGATGCCCCCTCAAAGCAGAAAATGCCCCTAAATCAAAAGCATTTCTAAGCTAAAGTGGCAGGTCTAGAGCAACAAAAGGAAGACTTAAAGTGTCTACAGCAGCAGCAGGGCTGGGGTTATGACTTGGTGATAGTGTTGCCTAGCAGCACAAAGACACGGGTCCAATCCTCAGCACCACAAAGCAAATCAAAGAGTGGGAGGGAGGGAGGGAGGGAGGGAGGAAGGAAGAAGATATAGGTTGCAGGTTTGGAGGTTCAGGAAATCTCACTTAGGAAAAAAATCCTTTTGCAGGATAAAAAGAGGCTCTATTTTTTGTTTGATTGGTTTGTTTTTTTGTGGGGTTTATTTTGTGTTTTTTTTTTTTTTTTTGAGCCAGGGTCGCCGGGTAGCCCCAGCTGGCCTGGAACTTGCTATGCAGACCAGGCTGACCTCACTCTCACAGAAATCCACCTGCCTCTGCCTCCCTAGTGCTGGGATTAAAGGCATGCATTACCACGCCAGGCCCAAGGCTCCATATATTTTTTAATTATTTATTTAATAACCACATACTTAGAAGAAGCATTTCATTACAACAGCATTGACATATTCAATAACAATTTTCTGAGCTAAGATGCATCTCTTTCAAAATTGGCTGTAAATTTTTAGGTTTACAGTTGAATTATTATAGTTATACAATATTGTACTCAGTATAAACCCTATAAGACATAAATGAGGTTTTAACCTTTAAAAAAGATCTCCATTTCATTATTAAAATACACAGTTTCATACAGAAAAATTCATTTTTAATGCAACTGACATTAAGATGTTTGTACATGCGTTTCTAATCTCTAGATATCTGATAAGGCTCCATATTTTAAAGGAAGGGCTATAGGACTCCAGCTCTGGCACAGACACAAAGAAAAGAGCGTATGATAACCCTTATGAGACAACTTACGTCCAGGTTCTGCAGACAGTACCAACAGAATGTGTGTTTGCAGTTCTTACACATCATCTGAGCACAGCCTTCATTGCGCTCAATGTAAACCCGGCAAACGGGGCACTGCTTAATGGGGGCTTCTGCGTCTGTCCCAAAGAGGGCCCTAAAACAAAATGGATGAGAGATTGTGTTCAATCAGTGGTCGTCATCCTAACTGCCAGGGTTGTAAATGGTTAGGTAATAAAAATCTCAGTTTTCTGTGTTTAATTCGCTTCCTCAGGAAAGGATGCAAACAAGACCGGGAGACATTAATCATTACCTGTTCAAGCATATCGAAATAAGAAAGAATGTGTTTATTTTGACTTTTAATGAATTCTATGATTGCACTTTCCACATCTGACTTACTTCACTGTTCTGGACAAATTAATACTTCATTCCTTGATCACGCATTGTCTGAATAAAAAGTACGAGGAGGCAGCTAGCTGTGTGGACCTAGCACAGGGTCCACACAGGGTGCAGTCTGTGCGATGTTCTGTTCATTAAATAAGAGGAGGAGTGGGATTCAGCCATCGCAGCTTTAAAAGAAATGCCCACTGCTATTGAAAAAAAACCCACCCTGAACTGATGGATAGGCCAGTTCGTGACCAGAGCAGAAAGGGGCACAGACAGTAAAGAGTGGGACAAATTGGAGAGGGAGGGAGCTGTTGCCCTGGGTTCCATTCTAAGTATTATTTCTCAAAAGCACACAGACACATCACAATTTACAGAGTATTGTTAAGTCTATGGCAGATTTGGTGGTGGCAATAAAATTTATATAGTAGTAACAGTATTTCTATTTTAAACATTTTATTTATTATTTTTATTTTATGTGTGTGAGTGTATTGCCTGAATGTAACAGCACCTGTGTTGTGCTATGCCTACAGAGGTCAGAAGGGGGCATCGGGTCCCTTGAAACTGGAGTTACAGATGGGTGTTAGCTGCTATGTGGGTGCTGGGAATTGAACCTGGGTCTTCTGTAAGAGGAGCTACTCCTCTTAACTGCTGAGCCATCTCTCCAGCCCCTAGTATTTCTACTTTAATACTCTCCTTTGGGACAGTGAGATTGCTCAGCAGGTAAAGACGCTTGCTGCCAAGATTGATTGGTAGATGCTTGATTCCCAGGATCCACGTGGTGGAAGAACAGAATTGATTTTTTTTTTTTGGTCTTTTTGAGACAGGGTCTCCTTGTAGCCCCATCTGGCCTGAAACTCACAATGTAGACCAGGCTGGCCTCCAACTCACAGTGATCCACCAGCCTCTGCCTCCCAAGTGCTGAGATTAAAGGTGCATGCCGCCATGCCCAGCTCAGAATTGATTTTTGAAAGTTGCCCTCTGCTCTGTACATGAGTCATGGCACTGTTGCACCGATACATGTACACACACTAAGTACAATAAAAATATTTAATGTCCCCCCTTTTTTCCAAGGGGGGTACTGACTCATAAGAAGCTCAGTGTCTTATATGAGGATCCAGATACCAAGCATCAGCACCAGAACTAGATCCACATCTCTTCTGTTCTCTTTAAACTTACCTAGGGAGCTTACTATTACAGATGGCACTGCTTTAAGTCTGACTGGGAGGGCACATGCTGGCCACATGCAGTAGAGCACTTTCTTCTTCGCTGCATCTGAAATTCAAGCCTAGCATTGCAGCCAGGTGGCAGGACTATCCCTGAAGACTGGTTTTGCACACTCTGAGGGCACTGGGTGAGTGAGCCAACTGGCAAAAACACTGGCATTTTGTCCTTGTTGATTTAGAACAGCCATAGCCTCAAGCAAAGCACAGGATCAAACACAAAGGTCTCTCAACTTTACACCTGGGTGCTGCCAAAAAATCTTTCCCTACAAAAGGTACAGATTTAATTGCTTCTTAACATAACAAAATCCAAGCCCTGGTACCATGTTTTCAGGGCACATTATGAGAGACTTTCTCTTATTTTCTTTTCTTTTTTGTCTTTTTGAGACAGGGTCTCCCTGTAGTCCCAGCTGACCTGAACTCACTATGTAGACCAGGCTGGCCTTGAACTCACAAAGATCCACCTGCCTCTGCCTCCCAAGTACTGGGACTAAAGGCGTGAGCCACCACGCCCAGCCCTTCTCTTACTTTCTAAGCATTTAGACTGATGGTCTATGTGAAAGTGTTCCCTATTAGGATCTAGGATCGGCGTATCTCAAGAGCTGGGCATTTAATCAGGTAAGATAATTTCTGTCTTGTGTTGCAAGCAGGAAGAAAGACCAACAATTGGTAGACATAATTTCTAAGCAAATACCTGTGTACAAGCCATGACTTTCTACTCAGAACCATGAAGCATGGTACCTCTCTATCTAAAGAGAGCAAAGTTCATAAAAACTCAGCACTACCTGGAAGACTCCCCTGGGCAAAAAACCCAAAATCCCTTTTAGACATATTCATTTGCTTGCTGTTACAACTTGGTGATTCTGAGCTTCCGGCGTGGGGGTGGGGGTGGGCGTGGGGGGTGTTCTACAGGAAAACAATGAATGTTCAACTACCATCATGAGACAACACCTTTTCAAAGTGGCTTATGATGAGTTTGAAAAGAACACTAGGAATAATCTCCAAGACATTGCTTTCCTTACCCACGCTCTGTTGGCACAATAGTCTGACTGTCTCTACAAGAGACCTCCCCATGCCAGGCATCCTTGCAACATGAGCAGAATTTCAGGTGGCAAGAAGGGCATTCCACCAACACAGGATGTCCTGGGTCACCTGCTGCCACGGGGCATACTGTCTGACAGTCTGCAACAGGACACCATGTTCGGAGGGGGTCCAGGTAAACTTCTGAAACATAAAGGAGGACATCGTGATGGGATGTCTGTCATTCAAGCATTACTTTTTGCCCTTTATCGAACATTTTACAGACTAACATTTATATATAACCACAGGTGATTGACAATTTTTATGATTGACAGTCTTCATAATGGATCCAGACCTCCCCTCCACCAAGTACATCCCTGTCATATTTTCCAAGATAAGAGCCAATAGAACAGGTCACCACCGCCTTTAATAACAGATAATGAATTTTCTCCCCAACTCAAAGCTCCAACTGAGGACTGTTGCTTGCTTTTGAGCCCTCAATATAGGCAAAAGTCTTAAGTCCTTTCTCTTAATTAACTAGATACCATCTTAGAAGTCTGTCAAAGCAAGAAAAAAAGTATTTTACACAAAAGATAATGTCTTTTTGGACCCTGAGAAACAGTTCACACAGCAGGAAATTTAAAACAAGGAAGAATCAAATAGTTTAGGACCAGACAGTGTCTGGTATAGCTTAGCTAGGAGTCAGATTTAGTTAACTTTCAGTCTCACCAGTGAACAAGTTAGGGACAATTTATGAAGGGCCCATATGCTCTCAGAACAAGAAGGAGGGAGTTTCACAGACCATAAAATGATAGCTATTTATGAGAGTGGCCAGATCCATGTGACACAGAAAAGAGGGAAGATAAGAGGGTGGACATCCATCTGTTTATAAGTCTCTCTTAGTTTTTTTCTTTTCTGTTCAATAACAGATTCCATGTTCTCTTCATATAATATGCCCTGCAAGGAAACCATACTGTGTAAGAAATGAGGCTACCGAAGGAGAAAAGCAGCCCTTCTTTCTCTAAATCAATGCACTTTTTAAATTCCTAACTCATGATGTTCTTCTTTTAAACATCTGAGGTTAACTCTAATCAGTTAAAATTCCCGCAATTAGTTGTAATTATGGCAGAAATTGTGGTGTGTTTCTATCAACTTACTGTTGCAAGCATTCGGGGGACACAATGGAAGCAGAAAGGATAAGTAAGGGAACAGTTCTAGATTCTGATACATTGTTAACCTGGTGCAGCTGTGGACCACAGTTCACTGCATAAGCAGGGAGAGTTGGCTGAGCCATAGAAAACAGGGCTCCACACTTTTCACCATTGGGTCAGGGCAGGAGGGGCCAAGCAAGCAGCCTGGAGGGAGGGAAAGAAGGGACACCAGAGCTCTCTACACAGACTTGTGACAGGGATGCGTCTGCGGTGTCCCATCAGGTGATTCTGTTGTTGTGCAAACATCATGGTGTATTCACACAGATTTAACATAGCTATGACATCGCTAGGTGGACGGACCATCATCATACGCAGGTCTCATTGGTGGCTGAAATGTTAACACGTGTTATGTGGATTATTTCCTCCACTAGGCATCATGATTATGGCATTTGCTGACGTGTTTGTTTCGGGTGGTGATGGGAATTGGACAGATGCTGGCCATTTGCTCTACACTGAGATCCAACCCAGTCTAAGGATGGCTAACAGAGCTTGACTATGCCCAAAGGTGGAGACAGTAGGACACGGATTTTTACTCTATTTAAAAATAAAATTGGCCACTCTGGCCAACTCTCCAATCACCTCTCTTAATCCCTTTCAGCCTTCTTTACTGAAACATCTATCACAACAGGCTGAATATTCTAGAGTTGTACTTTCCCAGACTTCTGTGCAGTGAAGGCTTAGCATGTCATGTGATTCTGATAGTGGGGAAGTAAAGAGAGGCCCACCAAGGGGCTTCTAGACAAGACCCCACTCTTCTATCTGCCTTTGTCCACAGGTATGTGACGTTATGATGCTGGACCAGCACGTGAATCTGTGATTTAGTGAAGCTGAGCTGCTAAATCAATCAAAGCTATGGCGGTGTGCCTCGGGATTTCCTGTGTGTGAGGTAGGATGACATCTTTGCCGTTGAAGCCATTTCCAGACACTCCATTCCCTGCAACTGAAAACCTCTTAACTGACAAGGCTACTTCTAGTAATGACGAGCACATACCACACTGTTCTTCCATGTGGCAGGTGTTTTACTAGGAAGATTGAAGTACCAGGTCTGGGATGACCTTCACCGTCTTTCCCACACCAGTGGTTTTATCTTTTTTTATTTTTCATTTGTTATTTTTATTTTTTATGTGTATGCATGTATTGCCTGCATATAGGTAAGTACATCCGTGTCGTGCGATACTCGTGGAGGTCAGAAGAGGCTGTCAGATCCTCTGGGACTGGAGTTATGGACAGTTGTTAGCTGCCATGTGGGTGCTGGGATTTGAACCCGGGTCTTCTGCAAGAACAACCAGTGTTGTTAACCGCTGAGCCATCTCTCCAGCCCCAGTGGTTTTATCTTTTATATGTAAGGCACTTGGAAATTGCACCAGTATATAGAAACAAATCCACATACATTATCCTAAAGAAAACTTTCCATAC